ATGCTAGTTTTTTTTTTTTTAAGAAAAAAAAAAAATAATTACGCGATTTTGTTTTAAAAGACTGATTTTTTTTTATTTTTGTAGCAATGATTCGTGATGATAAAAAGGTTTTAACGTTGCAAAAGCAGCAGCCTGTTAAACCTACTATTTATCTTTATACGTCAGCCGGAAAATTAATGGAGCAATTACAGGTAGGATATTTTTAATATATTTGATAAGTTCTTGAAACCTTTTTGATTCAGTTTGATTTTATATTATAGTGGGACAAAGGTCGTATTATTAAAATGGGTTGGACCGATGCTGAACAATTGGTTGTCGTTCTGGAAGATGGTACTATAAGATTGTATGATATTCATGGTGATTTTACCGGATTTTCTCTTGGCAAAGTGGGTATTAACAATTATATTATTTACAGAACCGTGAATACTCGCTTATTTGATGTATTATTATAAATATTACATTATTTATAGGAAGCCAAAGATCATTCAGTTATCGATTGTCAGATTTGGGGAACCGGTCTAGTAGCATTGACCGGGAATTTTAAGCTGATTGCTCTGACAAATTTTGAAGAACCTAGGCCACGACTTATGGCTGATCCAGGTAAATTTGTTATGGATTTTGATAAATAATTTATTAAAAGTTTAACAAGCCATTGCATTTTCCACAAGGATTGAACGAACCACCTCATAGTTGGACATTAATTCCACCTCAATATACACTCAGCCGTCATGTGGAAGTACTTTTATCTACCGGTTCTACGATCCTGACTGTTGATGTGATAGAGTCTTCGAATCAAGTAAGTGCTCAATACATTTTTTTTTTTTTTTTTATATATAACAAGCTTTCAATCAATATCGTAAATAATAAATAAAATATTTTGTATTTTTAGAATCTTCAACAGGGTCCCTTTACCAAGATGGATGTATCTCCAAATGGCAAATTTTTAGCTCTCTTCACCAATGAAGGTAAACTCATGGTTGTCTCCACCGATTTTTCAAAGAACCTTTCAGAGTTTCCCACAAAGTCACAAGTACCACCTCAACAGCTGGTCTGGTAGGAAATAATTGTAACACCATTAGTAATAATATAGTAATAATAGACTGTAATAATAATAGTAATAACAATAATTATTGTTACGGCTGAAGCTGGAAATTTTAACTATTTTAATATGAAATTTCAAAAATTTTTGGAGTGCA